AAGTTTTCGATTAAATTTTTAAATTTTTAATAAAATAAATAAGTTCTTAAATTTAATAATTTAAATAATTTAATTTTATTCTTCACAATAAATTTTTAAATTTTTAATAAAATAAATAAATTTTTAAATTTAATAATTTAGATAATTTAACTTTATTCTTCACAATAAATTTAATATTTATTTATGTTTTACTTATATAAATAAAATCAATACTTAATCCATAAAAAATAATATATTAATAATCTATTCATAAAAAATACAAATAAACTTTAAATTTATAAAAAAATTAAATTACTTAACTTATTAAATTTAATAATTTATTTATTTTAATAAAAATTTAAAAACAAACGTAAATTTAAAGACTTAATAAAAAGTTTTGCCTTAATTTTTGCCCTGCCAATTATTATCTTCCGTCGTTGTCTCTCTGACACTCTCCTTCCATCTTTGTCTAGGGATGGTAACCTTACTCCAGTCCCGTTGGATCCTGGGAGTGGGGTAGGCATAATTATTCCTCCTCGAAGCGGATGATATGTCATGATAATAACAATTATAAAAAAGTAAAAAAAAAATTCTAATAAGAAGTGACTAATGCATTATGACATTTGACCACAATTTGGGCGACAAGATTGGGTGAGATTGCAAGAAATAAGGTGGGATTGTGGGGAAATGACAAAAAAAATTATAGAAAAGTAAAATAAAAAAAAAAGGGCCTCGGTTGTTTGGGCCTATTCTTGCGGTTGCCGGTTGTCGGTGCAAGAGCCGACAATCGCCCGCTTGGACCATCAGTTACAACCGCAACGATTCACCTCAATCGATCACAAGAAAAGCCCGATTCACCAGTTACAGTTGCGGGTAAGCACAAGCATTTTTGCGGTTCCTTTCTCTGTCTAAATTAAAGGAGGTGTTCGATCGGTGGCATTTTTGTAATTTTGCCACATATTTTGTGGTCTTTTCAATCTGTTTGCTACAGTAACCCTTCCCTTCCATCTAACAGTTCCATTTTTTTTGCCACTTTTACCCTTTACTCTTTCTTTTTCCCTTTCTCTCATACATTATAATGAGCTCAATTTTCATATGTTAATGTCGAATTTTAGTCTTAATATTATTGACATTTAAATGAGTTTCATGAGATTTTATTTGATTTAACATAATGTTTATTATTTGTGCAGAAAAAGACTTAATTGAAAGAAATCATAACCTTTAGGATCAAACTGCAGAGATCAAAAATCTGAAGATTGAAGGGCACAGAAACCAAAAGTCAGGGATCGCCATTAAGGAAAATTGCAGCTAGGTCAAAGATCCGACCCGGACTATATTCGCTGATATTGTAAAGGTGTGGGAAATCAAAGAGTGAGTGAATAGTTATGAATTTAAAATTTTAAATTGAAAGTTATAAATTTGAATTTTGAGTTGGGAAGAGATTTTAAAAAGGAGAGTATTATTTTTTATATAATTTATTATTATTAAATGTAAAAAAAGTAAAGATGTCGGCAATTTAGCCTGTGGTATCAGATAAACAAAATTTAATTAGTCCACGTCAAATTATTATTATTTTGATGTGAATCCCAATTTTGTTTCAATTAAGTTTTTTAAATAGTTATAAATACTAACTCTTTCATAAAAAATAGAAAAAGGAAAAATTCAAGGCATTTTGATTCTTAAAATATTAAAATATTTAATTATAATTATTAAATATATAAAATATAATGCAATGAAGGAGTTAAAAAATATTTTTAGGGAGAGTAAAATAAAATATTAACTAAAAAAGATAACTTTCTGTGTCAATTTTAAAAAAAATTTAATAATATTTGTTAGTTTTTAACAATAAATTAATAGTAGTTGATAAAGATAAAAATAAATATATATTAAGTAGAATAGTATACTATGAAATAAAGAAACAAGAAGTAAAGATGTTAATAAATAAGTATTTTATTAAAAATGATAATAAAAAAATTTTATTTAATTAATTTTTACTTTTTCCCATATTTTATATTTATCATTTTCTCCATCTTTCTGTTTATCATTATAAAAGTAATCTTTAACGACATAAATACTAAAAAAAATGATTAAAATGATATGAAATAAGAAAAGACAAAAGTGATAAACATAAAATGGAAGGGACCAAACTAAATTTTTTACAAAAGTTTAGGGGGGTCTGGGCCCCCTCAAGCCCCTTGGCTCCGTAGTTGATATAATATGTATTTTAATTTTATTAAATTTATTATTTAATTATTATTAATATTTTACTAATAAAAATGATAAGATATCCTGATTCTTTTCTTTTCCCAAAATAATAGTAATAATAATAATAATAATAAATACCCACTCAATGTCAGGCTTAAGAGGGTTCTTGGCAACCAAGATTTGAGGGTAAGCTCGGTCCGATGGAACTGTTGCGGCTGGGAGTAATTCTTTCAACATCTCACGGGGCAGCCGAGGAGAAGATTAATCAAATTGCACTAAACTGAGTTTTGCTATTCCTAAGATTTTATTCTTGTTAATTATTAGTTAATCATAATTATTCTAAATTTTATTATTTTAGCATGACCTCATTTACCTAAGGAGCGTCATGTTGTAACTAACGGTGTTAATCAATTTAATATAAATTTTGTAATTTTTATATTTTTAATTAAAATTATTTATATGATTAGTTTTTATTGTTGAAATTAATATTTTAAAATTTTAATCACATTTTAATTAATTATATAATTTATGTATGAACTTGAAAAAAAATTACATCAATTAAATCAATAATGACATAAATTGTGTGTTAGATTATTGCACTGAAAGGTACTTAGCATTAGATGTGACAGTGGAGAAAGAGAAAAAGTAGTGCTCATCAATTTGATTTAAATAACATAAAAATGTGATTAATTTAACAAGTTGTGAAATAATTAACTTCATTTGAGAAAATTAGTTAATTAATTAAAAAGAACCCATAATTACATGTAATAACACTCAATTAATTAGTTTTTAAAGTATATTAATTTAGAATTTATATTAATTTATTAAGGTGAAATTAGATGTGTAAGGACCTCACATCTTAGTTGACTTTTATATTTTAAATTTTTTTTCTATTAGTTATTTGTAAGGGAAAAATGTAAATCAATCCCGACTTCTATAACAATTGGAGTCCTAATATTAAATTGTATCATTTATTTAATTAAAACTCAATTTAAAATTTAAAAATTTATTTTATTAAATATTAATATTTAGATTTAAAAAATAATTAGATTTTTAAATTTAGAAATAATCTTTTAATTTAATTTCTTATTATAACAAATCTTTTTGTTAGTTTAATATAACTTCCTTATAGATTCATCACTCAAAACCGGCTTAATTTAATTTTTAGTCTATTAACTATCACCTTGATTTCATTTTAGTCTAGAAACTATGTTTTATTTCTAAGTGGTCTATTAACTTTCAGATTCATTTCAATTTCATCTACCTGGTTATCTTTGACGGAAAACTTATTATTCTGTTAGAGAACAGTTAGTCCTCTAACTATATTTATTTTGATTTTTTAGTCCTCAAATTTATATTTACGGTAAAAACAACTTTTATACTTAAAATCATTATTTTTAGGCTCTGATACCGAATTTTTATTTAGGTTTTTCTCATTTCTTTAATTCTTCTTAGGGTATTTTCATTAATTGTTTTTATTTTTAAAATATTATCAATTATTCATTAGTTAGAGTAGTCTGAATTAAGTTCTGAAAACCCGAATAAAAATCTGGTATCAGAGCATAGAAATAATAATTTTAAATATAAAAAATGTTTTTACAGCAAATATAAATTTGAGGACTAAAAGATCAAAACAAATATAGTTAGAGGACTAACTGTTCTCTAACAGAATAGTAAGTTTTCCGTCAAAGATAACCAGGTAGACGAAATTGAAATAAATGCGAAAGTTAATAGACCACTTAGAAATGAAACATAGTTTCTAGACTAAAATGAAATCAAAGTGATAGTTAATAGACTAAAAATTGAATTAACCCCTCAAAACCACACTACAACAACTACCTAGTTGAAGAGTATTAATTCTGGAGCAAGACATCACACAACCATATTTGTAACTATGGTTTTAATATAATGTCACGTTCTCTTTAGGGAAAGGAATCAAAAAATGGCAGTGATGGATGATTCTATCATCAAAAGTTCATTATTTTGATTAGCAATAAGAAGACATGATATTAGTTTGGAATACATTTAAAACATTACTCTCAATATTGCTGCTTTAGAGCATATTTGAGGCAAAATAGTAAATCTTTTCTGATATGTCTTTATTAATAATTATTTTTTTCATATAAAGTAATTCAAAATATTTGCAAAAGTAAATATATTCATACCTAGTTTTCGAAAATACGCTACTTTTTTGTGATCATCTATCTTCCTAATTATTCAAAATTTTCAATGAATAATTCATCATCAAATATTCACCTTTTAGTTCTTTATAGATCTCATATTGAAGAAATATCACTTTATCACCATCTTTCAAGCATACTTTTTTTTTTCTTCGAGAATATTTTATTTTTTAAGGATGATTCACTCCATTCTATAATTGAATTCTCAAGATTTACTGTAGTTAACTGAATTTCTACATAAAAAGTTCATGACAAATATTGAACCTAATTTGTTAAAGACATCGAACTCAAATCATATGACAATTGTAAAATAACATATAAATAAAAGAACTGTCATACACACTATAAAATATTCAAATTAGAAACCATAAATTGAAAGAAAAAATTATGCTTCAAAATCTTAATTCAAAACTTTACCTCAATTTGGATCCTTACCTCAATAAATTCATTAACTCAAATGCGATCCATGAAACAAATCATATAGAGATAGTTCGTGCTAATAACATTTTGCAAAATAAAGAAAGTAACAAGTAGAAAAAGTATTAAATAGAGAGACAGAGACTACAAAGGTTTTCATTCCTCTTCTTTCTTCCATATCATTCTCACACAAGTTACAAGAATAGCACCTACTAGGTAGCAATATATGTACATGCATGTGAAGGGGGTGTTCATCACCATTACATACATAGACTGTGTAAACACATGAAATTATGGGATGTTAATTATAATTGCACCAAGGTAAATTTGATCCATAATAGACAAGTATTTTAGTCTCTTCCATTTTAGTTTTGGGCTTAATGACAACAAAAATTAATTATTATTAATTAATTATTGTTATTGTTGTTATTACTCTATAGACTAACTTTGTTTTATAGGTACGTAAAGAATTATTTATTAATATTATAAGAGTTTGAACCTCTAATTTTAACTCATTGAGGAAAATAAAGGCAAGAGGTGGGGATGGGAGACAATATCCTTCCATTTCCCTTCACTTGCCTCTCCTTCTCTCATTTAGTTATGTTAAAATTATAGAAAAAATCGAAAGGCAAGCTCCTTCCCCTCTTCTCCCGTCAAACTTATAAATGAAATCACTAATATTATAGTTATAATGTTAAGATTATAATCATGACGTATTATTATATAATTGATGAACTTCTAAATAAAAATGATCTATCACATAATAACATATTATAATTGCAAACTAAAAATATCATGTAGCATTGTAATTGTATTATTTTTGTAAACCAAAATTTTTAATTTGTGAGTACATTCCAGTACTCTTATGCTTTTGTTGACACTCTATACGCAAACAAAATATGTCCATTGTCATATCTATAAAAGGAAATTAAAAAGGATTGAAAATGTGGTTCTACAAGCTCCACTGCTATTTTATATAGATCAGCATTAGATAGACAGAAGCCTTGACATAGCACAACGAGTAATGATTCTAACAATCATTATTCCAGCACAATACAAGAAAAAAAAACTGAAAAATGAAAAGCATGTGCTAATAAAATTTCGTCACACAGGGTTATTTTGGAGCCAAATCGATATCACACTACACATATAGAGAACGAAATTAGACCAATGCATGGCGAGATCCCTGCTTTTGACACCAGCGTAAAGTCACTATGATGATACTCATCCCCACTGAAATCCAGAGATCACTCCACGAATTTGATTTCCACTTGTGGATGCTATGCTGTTGATTCCATTAAAACCATGGTTTTGTCTCCTTGTGGATTCTATTCCTAACAAAAACAATAATAATTAAAACAAAAGACTATTAATTATGCAGAACTATCTTTCTATTGCATCATCTCAAGCAAAAGAAAATATACCATAATTAATATGCACAATTGTTTTCTTACAATTGGCCTTACGACATCAGTTTGGGATTTGAATAGACAAAAATACACTTAATAAATCAGAAATGTATTAATGAATATTAAGATTCATAATATATAGTAATTTTTTTTCCTTTTCCCACTCTGAACAGATGTTTTTAAGTTTAGTCCACCATGAATAAAACCATTCTCAATTAATATGTCATTTTTTTATTTTTACATTAATTGGAAGGAAAAATTAAAAAAAAACAAAATCCAAAAGTAGACCATGTGAGAGGAACTCACCCAAAAAGGAAACTTCCAGTTGTTTTCTTTGACTGACACATTGCTGCCTAGGCTTTCTTTAAGCTCCTTCACAAAATCCTGCTTCATACTCGTCAAAATCAATTTCTTCAAAGTGGTCAACTTCTTCAATGCATCAGTATTACTGAGTTTCTTACAGCATCTGATCTCAACTTCTTCTAAGGCGGGCATGGCTCCCTGCTCCACTTCCCATTTCTCGAGCTCCTCAAGCATCCACAATTTTAAGACTTGAAGCTCTGGGAAAGTGCCACTACCACATTTCATTGTTTTCCCCTTGTAGGAATGGGCGTGCAGCCTCAGGATCTTCAGGTTATACAGCTGTCCTAGTTCTTCCATTGGGTCAACCGACAGTTCTGACACTGCCAAAGTAAGGATCTCTAGCGTTGGGGGAAATGTGCCAAAATCAAATTTCTCTGGAAGTTTTCCAAACAAATACAACTGTGATAGGAGCAAATGATCGCCTAAGTTCCCTAATTCCAATGAAGAAGGTTTGCCGGTTTTGTCTATTGACCTTAACTTCAATGATTGAAGTCGGGTCAACATAGAAATCCATTCAACTATCTCTCCAATTGATTCTCCATAGCATGTTACTTCCAGTTTTCTAAGACCATTCGCCAGCTTCAAATAATCTACAGACTTCTCATTACGGATCACCAGACCCGACAAAGTCTTAAGATTGGTTAACAATCCCTTTGTTTGACGGGCCTTTGGAATAGATGTATCAATACAAATATCGCTCATATAAAGATGTTGAAGATATTTTGCCTTCCAGAACTCACCAGGTAAAGTGATGATATTAGTATGCTTCACGTCCAAAGTCTCAAGGCTAAGCAAGTCACCAACTGTATCTGGAATTGAATCCAAAAAAGTCCATCTTAAACCCAAATACTTGAGTTTGGGAAATTTGCCTAGATGTTTAGGTAACACTGGTTTGTAAACTCCTTCCAAATCAAGTATGACAATTAATCCAAAACCTCCCTTAACAATCCCTTTAAGAAGTTTATCTACTCCGAATGCAGGAAGAACACCTTCGTTCGTTTTGAATGAAAAGTAAGAATGTAGCTGATAGCTGTTCTCTGGAAGCCTGCCATAACAGCTGCTCTCTGGGTGTTCTGCAAGCCTTCGGATGTACTCTTTGGGAGCATCTTTCTTATCATTGTCGAAGTGAAAGTGAAACAATCCAGCTCTCAATGCTCGTGGAGACAATTCATCATATACAGTACTTTTCATACGAATGGTTTTGGGACTCCTATTTAATTTTTTTTCTACCTCAATCATGTTTCTGTTTTTTAAGTCTTCAATGTATTTCTTCACCTGCTCTTCAAAACTTTCTTCCTCTTCCTCTACCTCTGTTTCTTGTTTCAAAAATCCCTCGGCTTGCAATAGTTGAAACAACCTCCTAAAAGGAACCTTGTATGATTTGGGAAAGAGACCTAAATAATTAAGGCAGAACTTTAAATGGGCATTTAGGTCTTTATAGCCTAAAGCCAAGATAGAACCTGGTTGATCTTTACCAAAAGAAGTATCCTGGGTCATCATGTCTTCTTTTTGCGTGGTATCTAATGATGAAGGCAATTGATTTGGCGAAGGTTCCTGATCTTCTTTGGTTGCTCCATGCTTCACCTTTTCTTCTTCCTGCATCGCTGGAGCTTCACTGGGACCAATTTCCTCAATCTCCCCCTTACCATCTTTGTCTTCCAGCTTGGCATCTGATGAATCACGTTGGGTGAAAGAACATGACTGACCTGTTATAAATTTCTTTCCATTTTCTGGCTTCATATATGAGGAAGTCGGTTGGACTGAGGAATTCACAACGTCTTTACCAGTTACCCTCCCTTTCTTTTCTTTCTTTTGACTTACTTGCTCAATGAATTTAGACCATACCGAGACATTTAGTTCCTTGGTAGAAAGCAAACCTCCAAGTACAACTATATCAAGAGGCAGGCCACCACATCTTCGCAAAATCTTCTCTTTGAGAACTTTCATCAATTCTGCATTTTCTACAACTGTTGGTACCTTCTTTTTAAACAATTCCCAGCTTTCATTATCGTTTAGAAAACGTAGTTTGATAACTCTGGTATCTGCTTTAATATTGCGTGACACACAAGCATCACGAGTAGTGAGTATCACCCTACTCCCATTTAACGAATTTGGAAAGGCAGGACTGAGTTTTTCCCAAACATCAGCTGTATAGACATCATCTAAAACTATTAGGTATCTCTTCCAAGCCAAGAAGAGTCTAAGTCTTTTTTGCAATTCCTCTTTGGGCCAGCTCTCATCCTTCCGCACCATTCCCAGCTGTATTGATAAGTCCACCAAGAGTTTTCTCTCCTCAAATTCTTGAGAAACAGAAACAAAAGCTCGGCACTCGAAATGCTGCTTAATTGCAAAACTACTGTAAATTTTCTTCACAAGCATTGTCTTGCCAGAACCTGCCACACCCACCACTGAGATGAGAAATTGATAACTTTCAAGTAGCAGTTCAGCTAATTCCTGCACTTTATCATCCAGTCCAACAAAGTCTGACTCATTGGCCTTAACTTCGGAGAATATTCCCCATCTATGTTTAACTTTTAGATTAGAAAACTTTTCATGCAGCAACTCTTTTCCACAAACTGTTCCAAAGACACTAGAAGAGGTAGTTTGCCAAGTCACATCAGCCTCATGGACAGTTAGAATCACCCGGCTTCCATTCATGCCATTGGGAAAGGCTCCTTTAAGCTTGTCCCAAACATCAGCCCTCCACACATCATATAAAACTATAAGGTACCTCTTCGGAGCCAGGAAATTGCAAAGCTTCGTTTCTAGTGTCACTCGGTCTCGGTTTTTTTCTTCTAACTTGTTATCACCTGTAACTTGTTTCAAAATATCAGCTAGAAGATTTTGAAGATCTTCTTCTTTAAACTGTTTTGGAACACGAACCCAGGCACGGCATTGGAATACGTGCTTAACATCCTCCGCACTGTACACTGCCCACAAGAAAGTTTTCTTCTCTGGTTCTAAAGATTTCTTCTCTGATTCTGAAGTTTTCTTCTCTAATTCTAAAGTTTTCTTCTCAGATTCTGCCACCCCAACAATTGAAATGAGAAACAACAATTTACACTGATTTAAGATTGACTGGAATAACTCAGTCATAACATCTTTCATGCCAAGAATTCTAGATTCCTCCAGCAAATAATCTTTAGACTTCCCTAGCTGTTGGCTTGACCATTCCTTTGAAAGATTGGTTGAAGTGATTCCTTTACAGATGAGAAGCACTCGGCTACCATTCAATGAGTAGGGAAAAGCAGATTTGAGACTCTCCCAAACATCCTCTCTTAGTTCACCACATAAAACTATCAGGTACCTTTTACAAACTAAAAAATCATAAAGCCGCTTCCTCAATAACTGGTTTGACAGCTCGGATGCATCCTGCTTAATAGAAGGAACTTGTTTCAAAATATCAATTAAGATATTTCTTTCTTCTGACTCTTTATTTCTTTCTTCTGACTCTTTATAAACAAAAACCCAACAGCAAACCTGAAAATGTTGTTTAGTAACAGAAGAATGGTAGGAAGTCCACAAGAAAATTGCATCAATCCGGTATTCCAAATTGGCTTTCAAAATGAGAAATTGCCTCATCCGCCTGCCAAGGAGTACTGGTTGAGCTAACTTGCTTACTAACTCCTCCAAGACAATTGGGATAGACCCTTCCTCCCAACTCTGATGATACTTTTCGTCTTTATAGGACTTCTTTTGAGGAACTATGTTACCAGAGGACTCCTCTTCCGGAACCTCTGCAGCATCTGAGTTGCTCCATAACTGCTCATCTGGAACTGGGGCAGACAAGGAATCATTCAATATTTTCTGAAGCTTCTTAGTTTGCTTGCTCAAATCGCGATCAAATTTGACAGGAAACTTCCCGATGGAGATATTTTGTCTCTGCAGCATTTTCGTAGCAATGATGGAGTCAATGATATCCTCCAACCTGCAAATTTGCGTCGGCAGCTCACTCGCCTTGTAATTTCTCGGATTCTGCACTGCATCTGCTCTTTCCCAAATATCTTTCAGCAGGTCGCTCAATTCTTTTTGGAAAGGAGCCCGCTGTTCTATTTTCTCTATCAATGATGGGATTATCATTTGGAGATCCATGGATTGAGAAAGAGTCTAGAATCGCAACAGAGGTGAAGTTTCGATTGGATTCTTCTATCTGAAATCAATAACCAAAAAAGATGTATAAGAATAAATTAACTGAAACAAGAAAAGGAAAATCAGTCCTCAAATAAATTCATTACTCCACTAACACTTTGAACCTGACTCCTAAACACTTCAAATTCAATTAATTCGCATGGTGTATAATTAGGCAGCGAAGAACTTTAAGCCCTATGCACAATGCCAACTACTTTTTTTTCTTTTTTTTGATAGTAGGAATTGATTAAATGTAGTGTTAATATATGTTAGTGAAGAGGCTCGAACCGCTGAAGGGGTGCAGACCACCTGCTGCCCAAGGGCAGCGTGGCCACTTGGGCCACATGGGGGTCTGCTGCCAACTACTTTTATAAAATAGTAGTAAAGAGAGTTCTTTGAGTTTGATATTACTTTTACAAAACTCTTGGTTTGAAAGAAATGGAGAGGAGAGACTATTCCCATTTCCTCTCCTTTAATTTTTTTAGTAATTAAATAGAAGAATTTTCTTCTCTTCCCTCACCTTCCTCCATTCAAACTAAACGTACTAATAATACAATTAATCAATGCTAAAAATGTTAATTTGTTAAAATTAAATTAATTTTGTTTAATATCTTGTGTATTGTAGTAGTACTTGTTTAGAGGAATAGTAATACTTTATACTTTTTTTTTGTTCCACTTTTAAAAATTATTTAATTAACATGAACATAGTTTGTATAGAAATAGCCACAACATTACACAAAAATTCCAAACAGTTCCTGATATTTCAAGAATTAGATAAATTTTAAACTTAAATTAATTATTTCCTAAATTAATTATTTTATTCAAGGAAAGACTTTTTTAATTAGAATATCTCAATATTCAATAAACTTCTAGTTTTTATTTTTTGTTAAAAAAATTCTAGTTTTATCAAGAAAACTTTACCGATGACATATTTACTTCCTCTGTGCTAAAACATCTATAACTTTTTTACTTATTTTCTAAATTAAGAATTTAAGGGTAATTTAGGCGTTCATCTATATTATCTTTAAGAAAATAAAGATAAAGAAAGATTTTTTGTATAAAATAAAAATTATAGTAAAAGGATAACAATAAAGTTAAAGTGAGAAACAAATGTCAATCTTAAAAAATGAAAAAATAACAATTAATTTGTAACAAATTTAAAGTAACAAAAAAAAGATAATTATTTTGGGACAGAGTAAATATAAACTCTATATATACATATTATCTAAAAATGTAAATTTATCACATCTATGTAATTAATTTTAATAATATTTTACATATTTTTAGTAATTTTAATTACTATTTGATATATCTTTTACAAGAAAAGACAAAAACAATAAAGAACCTAAAATAATACAAACACAGCACCCCTAATCGAAGCCTAAGTTTACAGTATTGCCTTCACAATACTTTTCCTCACTGCATATAGATAATATTAATTTGTGTTTGATAAATTATTAGGGATTGTTTTTTTCAAAAAAAGCTATAATAATTTTAATTTTAAAATATGACTACAAATATTAAAAATAATGCCTGCAAAACAAGTCTAAAAACGCTTATTTACTACGCTGTTTAGATTAGTTTTTTTGAAACAGTTTATAACTTATAGTTAATATGTAACGATTTATAATTGTTAATATTTATAATTTAAAATATCTAATTTGTTTGATTAAAACTAATAGCTGACACCTATTTTCAAATGGTCAAAACAAACGCCCTCACTTCTTTTAGCATTC